GCAAGGGTGGTAGGTTTATGTCTTTTAAGGGGGCCTTTGGCCTAGTACACTTCTCTTCTTCACTTTATCTTCTTCAGAAGGCTGTACATGTGATAGGACTAGTACCTGTTTGTCATTGCAAGGGTGGTAGGTGCATGTCTTTGAGGAAGGCCTTCGGCCCGGTACCGTTTCCACGTCTCTTCTTCACATTGTCTTCTTCACAAGGCTCTGAATGTGGTAGGGCTAGTATCTATCTGTCGTTGCAAGGGTGGTAGGTTTATGTCTTTTAGGGGGGCCTTCGGCCTAGTACACTTCCCATTTCTCGTCTTTTCCTCGTAGGATGAACATGGTGGGGCTTTGCATTTCGAAGGAGAAGACGCCTCCCAGGTTCAATTTTGAAGGCTTGCCTCTTACTAGTGCTTCATGTACACCGTATGTCATGTACTCTTCTTCTCCCCTTCCTTTTACTTGGTTGAGGGTGGAAGCCATATGAATGCCATACCAGCTAAGCACATCCTAAACGGGTCCCAAATCACTGAACTGTGAAAATGCTGAAAAAAACATCGATTCTTTGCACGTCTATTGGCATATGGCGACGACTAGGCTTCTATATGGCTATTATCTGGCTGTTATACTTGTTAAATATGGTTACCAAATACCAATGGTTATTAACAATATTAGTACCATAATAACCATATTTACGGTATTAATTATGGTTACTAATGGTTACCACTGGTTATTATTGGTTGTAAACATTTGTTACAACATGGCGATTGGCTGTAAAAAATGGCTACCTACGATAGTATGGCCAATAGAATGGTGAACCAAGAAGGGATATGACATTCATTTGAAAGGGTGAAATCATATGGTTGCTATCTATTTCGTGCAAGGTGGTGCCCCCCCAGTTATGTTTGTTGGTTTATAACCCCATTAAGTAGTTCGGTATATCTACCATAAACTCTAGGGAAATTGGAGTTGTAAAAACAAACTTAGCTAACTGTGGGGCACCACCTTGTAATTTTTTGAGAGAAGACCAATAATTATGGCATATTATGGCCATAGGGGACTTGACCAGTAAAGATGATGGATCATATGATGAGATATTCTTCTAGTAATGGTGAGGTAGACACGATGCAGCCATCCCCATTCGATGTTTATGACAGTGGGTATGCCGAATGCGAAACTGGGATCATAGAAGACGACCGTCAAATGGTCGGTTGCCGAGATGGTTTATTCTCTTCTTGGGTACCCTCGGTACCCTCTGGTAAATTAACATAGACCCTGAAAAGAACACATGTTTAATGGAAACCAGTCTTCCAACCCCTATCTGGCAGGGTCTATGTTAATTTATTGGAGGGTAATCAACTGGTGAACTTTTTTTTTGGGTGCGTTTGAAGAGTTTCAAGATGAATATCTTTCACTGGTTGGTGGTGACTGGAACCATGGAATTTTGAATGACTTTCCATTCAGTTGGGAATTTCATGATCCCAACTGACGGATCCCAACTGACTTTCACTCCATCATTTTTCAGAGGGGTAGGTATACCACCAACCAGTAATCATTGATAAACCATATTATTCAAGATCATTCACCATATAATAACCATTAATATTAACCATTATTAACAGTATATTAACCAACCAGTTTCATGTTTTCGGAAACATTCCGTGGTACATAGAGGGAGCTGCCTGTTGGGAGCGTCTCGCTCAGTTTGGGGATGGTTTGAATACAGGGCTTCTCCAATAGCTGGATGGTTTCCAATGGAAAATCCCATCAAATAATGGATGGGGGTACCCCCAAAATGGATGGTTTATAATAGAAAATCCTACTATAAATGGATGATTTATGGAAAGATCCACCATGCTATTAATGGGTAAATCAACAAACTCAATGGCCATTTTCTATGTCGCAAAGTGTTAGTCATTACCAGGTAAATGGATGATTTAGGGATACCCCCATGGATTGGAAACCTCCATGGTACGTCCATCGTATGGAATCCCTTGTAGGCTTCTAGAGACACGACTTATGAACCGCAAGAATGGAGACTTTACCACGTCAACATCGTGAGTTTACACGCTTTTCGAAGCCCTGAGTTTATTCACATTTTTGGGGTTCTTGGTTTATTTCTCATGTAGATCTGCATGTAGATCTGCATACTCTAGTGATGTTTCCAGGTTTTGACCTTCATGGTTTTGACCCACATTGAGCTACGAATCATACCAATCCCGAAACTTTGGTCTCCCCAATGATGGTTTTTTCGCCCATAGATGCCATAGTTGTTGGGTGCTTAAGAAGCCGAAAACATCAACGGTCTTGGGGAAGTCACTGTTGGAGATGCTTCTCCCATTCTATCCCCTTAGATGCCGAGAAAATGGAGCTTCACTCCCGGCAACTTTGTCGGGTTTTCCTCAGGGGTTGATATCCTAGAACCATTAAAAATCATCTACAGGGTTGATATCCCATACTATTATTCAATGGGAAATCCAGGATCCTAAAATGGAGGTACTGTACCATATAAAGCTATATTTTGTGGGGATATTCCCTTACATAGGCCTTACATAGGCCTTATATATGGTAGGTACCTCCAATTTAGGTTCCTGAAATGGCCAGTGAATTATCCTCCATGTTTGTTGTTTCAATCCCCCTGTACCTGCTGGTTTCCGAGGTTAGATGCCTGGCGCAAATGACCGGCGATATGAACCTGGGGCGTTGGTTCTTCGGAGCAACGCGGGCTGGGTGGCCGAAACAGATCCTGCGGTCAATGTATGGCCTTGAGGGGCCCTAAGAGACCTAGGTAACTAGGCAATTACATGGGATAGACGGATCTTCCAAAGGGAAATGGGTTGCGAATCTCTCTGGTGTCAAACATGGCAAGCTGGAAAATCTTCGAACTAAACTTATGGTTTCTAGCTGGAAAATCATTGAGCTGAATGGGGGTAGTTCCAGCACGCCACATTTGATGACACCGGAGGGTACAAGTCGCCGAAACATCTGAGATAGGGCCCATCAGTGTGCCACCGCTGGGCGTTCACGAAGCAACGCCCTGTTTGGCGCTTCAAAGCTGTGAATCTCCACACTGAGACTCTGCAAAAAGGCTGAGATTCGGAGCAACATGCGTTCGCAATATGTGGGTGGTGGTTGCAATCCAGTTTCTACATGCAACATGGAGACATAGAGGTTTCCAATCCATAGAAGTAATTACCCCCAGTTCTCATCCATTTATAGATGGATTTTCCATAAACCAACCAGCTATTGGGGTACCCCATGACTATGGAACGCCCATATGTTACATGATGCTACGCTCTTAACTTCTTCAAGTAGCTTCCAACACTTTGTGGAGCAAGATGTCACGACCTGCCCATGACTTGAGGCGTTGGCCGTGGCCAGTCTGGTAGCGATGTATTGGAGCTAGCGACCATAGAATAAAGGTCTCATTATCAGGGCAAATTTTCAGATGATATAGCAGAATTTCTGTGGCTTTATAGTGGATTGGTACCTGAAATGCCTGTTTTTTACGTCCATTCCCAAAGTCACTTTGTAGATGCCAAACGCGCCAAAGTTAACGGCCAACATTGATCGCTGCTTTCACGGATGCTCATGGTGAACACATGTGAACACCATGACTATGGGATGACTATGGGATATGAAAGTGGAGGATTACACACACAATTGACCCGGCCTGGTAAACAAACAGTTTGCGAGTTTGCGAACTTTTGCGAACTTGAAAATGGCCATAGAACGTTCGTTGATTTACCCATTTTCATAGCATGGTGGATCTTTCCAGTTCGTTTTCTGGGACAGTTTACCAGGCCGGGTATGGGACTTCTATAGCGCAATAAAACCATCCCAACTTGGGGCTTTTCTCACCAGTTTTGTTTGATGAGCCACGTTGGAAGTACCCTCTGGTAAATGTTTACATAACATTACATAACTATGGAAAGATCCACTATTTTTCATGGGAAAAATCAATAACTATGGAAAGATCCACCATTTTTCATGGGAAAAAAATCACGAACTATACATGGTGATTTTCAATAGTTATGTGACAAATTACCAGATGGTATATATAAGGGATTACACTAGCCAAATCTACCCAAGATATTGGGGCTTATAATATGTTATAATATGTTATAATGATGGTTGTTTGATGATTAATAGTTGAGGGATTATACTACCCAATATACTTCGCATATAATAATCCAAGAACGGGGAATCCCGAAAAAAACCAAGCAGTACAATGGAATGACAGAGGCATCATAAACTCCCAACCTTGGTTCGTAAACCATTATGGTCAAGCCCCAAAGGTAACATCTATATCCATCTATAGGGTTTCAGCCATGGCAGTTGGTGGTGTTTGACCTCAGCCTTTGGTGCCTAGCCACGGTCTGTTGCGCTGACAAAATGACTACGTAGCCGTAGCCAAAAAGGAACGGCAGTGGGATACGGGAGAAGCTTCGGTGGTCTCTCCAAATTCCTGGCGGTGTCCCCGATTTTCAATCGTGACATTTTTGGGTGTGCCCTCTTTGAAACGACCAACCCGATTTTAGGTGGTTTTGCCCCATTTGCCCAAGAGACCGATCTTTTCGTTTGGGGTTTGCACGAAGTCCAGACTTTTGTTGGTTCAATCCGAAAAAAATGATGTTTTTTTTGCGGCTTAAAATCACACTTTTGGCCTGTTGAATTCTCAGTTTTGATGTGGTTGAATCCGTATTTTTGCTGAAAGCCAGTCTGTTGGTGAAATCCATGTCTAAATCAAGTCTAAGTCATCAACAAGATGACCAATGAACAAGTGTTGGCATACATAACATAAAGATGGTATCATATTGGTGAAATCTGTTATCATAACATATTGGGTCTAAATCTATATCTAAGTCATATCTAAGTCCCATATGAGTGAAATCTATATCTATTTTTGGTCATAACATAATATATTGGTGAAATCCATGTCTAAGCCCCCCTACGTTTCTTCTTTAACGTCCCCATAAGAATGGCTGGTGAACTCCTCCACGTTTCGGCGCCAG